ATAAAGTACGAGTACTTACGTTGAAAATACCCTGAATCATCGTCCCACCATCCCACAGTTCCCACTGTGGCAGCTCCACGAACGACCGCCATATAATGGCCGGGTCTGTGCAAAATGCAGCCAGAAATATAAGATGGTCATTAAGGCCATCGCCTGGCGTCGCATGATGCATAAGGTGACGACCATGGAACGCTTAATGTAAACAATTTACAGTCAAACCTCCTGAGAAATTTACAGTAAAGCCTCCTGAGGTAGTATAGTTACTACCCTCAGGAGGTGGATCATTGTAGTATTCAACGACTGATTATCAACTGCGTCACGCCGATAAGCAATCGTAACAAACTGGGACGCAGTATAACATTGACTCTGATAAGCCAGTAGGCAGACATTTGTGGCTGTCAGGCCAAACGCATTCGGTAGATCTACCCGCAGATCAGAATCGGCCACGACTGGAAAGCCAGGTCTGATGCACCTAATCTGCCGCGGTCGACAAACGACTGACGAAGGCCGTCGGCATGGCAGAGCAGGCTGTCGGTAAAACAGAATCCGGCAGATAAACATCAACACGACGTCGAGAGCGAGGGGAACTGGTAAGTGGAGAGAATGAACGAAACTGCCGACGTTCAAATATGCACAACGAAGGGGCCGATCTCGGCCGATCTCAGCCGGCGTGAGGAAGAGAAAGACAAACTAGAGGCAGATGTAGAAAACAAGAACAAAACAAAGAATGGGACGCTGAAGTAGATGTAGAAGTGGAAGTAGAAGAAGAAGAAGGGGGAGATGCCAAGGAAGAAGAGGATGCTGGCAAAAATGGGAAGGAGAGGAGAGGGAAAGGGGAAGGGGAAGAAGGAGAAGGGGGGAAGTGGAGAGGGGGAAGAAAGACGGGGAAGAAAGAGGGGAGGATGGACAAGAACGGGGAGAAGGAGGGGGAGGAGAACGAGAAGATGGAAAAGAGGAAGGGGGAGGAGGGGGAGAGGGCGGAGAATGGAAAGAAAGGGGAAGAGAAGGTGGAAGAAAACGATGCAAGGACTAGCGACGCATACAGCGAAAGCATTGTGTAAGTCGAGTCACATGTATAGGGTGTCGCCACTGGCGACCACGTGTGCAACAAGTCCATCCTCGGATCCATGTCGGAGGCCCATGGCCCCGGGAAAGCAAACGGCGGACAATCCACCAGGAAATCATTTCTCGTAGTCCTTACCCAGTATCAGAACAAGACACTTCCAGGAGATAGAGCAATGGGGGACCCAACTACAGCATACAAGCAGATAGGCCAGTTGATGGGGAACCCAACTACATCAGCATACAAGCAGTAATAGGAGCGGTCCAAGCGAATGGTACCAGTACATGGGACAACTACTTCGACCTACCAGTTGATTGGACAACTAGAACATACAAACTACGGGCTCATCGCAACCATAAAGCAGGAAGGGACATATATCGTCAGCATCATTGTTAGCATTATCATAAAGCGTTTTATTTTTAGTTGCCTTGCTGGAGAGACGTGACCAATCAATCAATCCATTTTCCATGTTTTAGAGTTGATTGATCGATCGCATTCATCGTCCTTTTCCCTCCCGCTCGTCTCAAACACACGTTTCCTTACCCTTCTGCTTGGCCACCTCCACATTACAGACCATGAATTATCTTGCCAGCATCTCGGGTCGCGTTCCGAGTGGATCTCGACCATTTGACAGGCCGGAAACCTCTCTCTCTCTCTCTCTCTCTACACGCACAAGAACATATACCCCTCTCTCTGTCTCGCTCCCTCTCTCACACACAAGCGCGCGTCGTCGCACACAGGCGTCAAATAGACAGGAAGCAAGCGCAGCTTCATCCACTAGCGCATGTCTTCTATCTACTGTTGTTCTCTAATACAAACGTTGCTATCCTGTGTTTATGCTCGATGGACTGCGGAACAGATATGATACTGAGGAAAAGAAATTGTTCACTTGATCTTAGCCAAATGACCAAGAAAAGTTGCTAATGAGCAGCGGGCCTATCTTTGTTGCAAGCGAGTCCGCGAGTCAGAAGATAGCAATCACACAGGCCCACACACAGATTTGGAATGACAGTCTGCTAGGATTGCAGCGTTAGTGCGAGTAAAGTCGACCACATTCTCAGGTGATCGCTAACTCCGGACGACGTCGTGCGTCCTCATCCATCAGAGAAATTACATCCAGGGCAGAACGTTGGGGTTCAACCTCCTGATGTCGTTGAAAGTCGGACGAATATCTACCACAGTCATGCTTGTTTTGTGGCTTCGCACATACCCCTAAAGGCATATCTACTTACGTTTTCTCAGGGAGACGCCTCTTTCTCTCTCTCTTTCACCGGGAACAGAAATCATTTGGCTAAACGAAACATACCAGCTTCGCAAACCATTGTAAAGATCCTCACCACGTGCAGACTACGCCGTGCTATTGAGCTGTCTGTCTCTTCTTGTGTGACTGGCAAGACCTTCAAAGAAAATTGCCTCTGCGTCCGCAACTAACAAACCTCAAACGAGTTCCATGCCCTAAATTCCGGTCTCTTTCGATATGGCCCGCCGAGAATCTGCAAAACCTAGCTACCCCATCTGCTCCACTCTTGGTATCAAGCACTCCACCGTTCCCACTGTTTCGTCAATACATCCCAACGCATGTGCACCATTCCATCCACCCCAGAATACAGCGTCCCCATTCTGAGCAAGATTCCCTCCCCGAAAGCAGCGCACAGCATGGATTCCCGGAACCTGCTTCCCCGCATACTTGTAGCCCACCCTAGAGAAGGAAACCATTCTGAGGGTGGCATGTTTAACCATGCGGAGAACTGCAAAATTCTGTAACCCGCTCACAGGAAACGCCTGCTTGTTCAAGTACACGGGATTCCTTCGTGAATACCGCAGTTAGAACACTTTGCGGCTCTTCCACAACCCACCAGGGAATACCTCGTCCTGAAGCGTTCGTCTAAACACCACCAGCGCCAGCGCCGCCTGCCGCACCACCAGCGCTCCAACCACCACCGCCTGGCCCCACCAAGAGCTCCACCCGAATGACGACCACCCGGTGCGTGTACTTCCCTTCCACTACCCAGGGAGCACACATCGTTTTGATGCAAATAGATCAGCGTCAATGCACGACCAGCGTCTGTGCCTCCTGCCCCACCAGCAGCGCTCCAACCACCATCACCAAGCCCACGAAGATCTCCGCCAGAATGCGGGCGACCACCTGGTGCGGACACTTCTCTCCTCAACCTCGGCACTCTCACGATTTCTCCTGTCCTCCCGCGACTTTACTCGCAGGACGTAAGCCGCACACGACATGCCGTACTACATCTTTCCCGTTCCAGCTCTTTGGCAAGACGATGTTGTCGTAGATACGCGCCTCCAGAACATCACGGATGGCGGCAAACTCGACAATATTCCGCAATATAATCTCGTAGTGGCCTTGTCCTTCGGGCACGCGAGCCCACAGATACAGCAGCGAAGGAGTCCTTATATCCGCGGCGATTACTTACCTCAACGCCAGTTACGCCGCTTGACTGTCATCATCGCACGTATAGCGGGAGAAGAGAAACGTGCACACCGACTGAACGGATCACCTAATCCCAACCCTAGCCGGAGCTATAGCGAGCGTGGAAAAGACGGCCACCATCTTCCTGAAACACCTACAAGACAACTCTTTTCTTTCCATTTTCCATCTTCCTCCCTCACCCCGTCTCCCCTCCCCCTCTCCCCTCGAGAAAAGCCCACATGCCCCTTCAGTTCAATTCAACCGCTAAGGCCGTTTTCGGCGTATATCGCGTGGGTAGCGTAGTGCATCTTACGTTCACACACACATGGATTAATGGCTGTTTAGAATGGTTTTAGACCTATCACAAACTAGTTTCTCATACTCAGAACCATTCTTGACAGGTGTTTCGGTCGCCGGTCTGCTAGAATTGCAGGTTTGGATACAGACAAGTCGGAAAATCTGTTTTCAGGGAATCGCTAGCTCTGGTCGACGAAGTGAATCCTTGTCCAGGAGTCACTCGGGAGACGACCCGTCGTGGTTCAACCTTCTAACAGCAAGCTCGACGAAACAGTCCGTTCGCCACAAGCATGCCATTTTTTGTGGAGTTTAGTGCGAACATGACAACACACAATGTCATACAAAGCGTCAGGCTGAGGAAATCGCCTCAGCGGCATACGTTGATTTTCTTGTCAGCTACAAAACAGAGTGATCCGCTGAACGAATCGAAATCAAAGCATACAATCTCGACGAAAACAAACTCCACACTTCATGCGCAAGCGTTGCATTCCAATCTCTCTCATTCAACTTCATTACCATCTAAGTAATGTAAATGCACCCCACCCCAACACTCCATCTCATTCAAATTCATTGCCATCGCAGAAACCGAACAAGACCCGATTCGACGAAGACAACAGAAACGCTGGCGAATTAGGTCAACCGATCACCGATGAAAATGATTTCAAAACAAATTCGTTCCGAAGACTTCCTCTCTAGCCTTGCCCCCAGAAGTATCTGCTCTGCTGGGAGGTTAAAAGCTAACACCCGTGTTTACTGCGAACCTGCTATTTCAAACAGCCGCCTTAAACGAAAACTAGCTCGAACACGTGAACCAAAGTCTGCAAGAAACCAAGGTGACAACAGGATTCCCGGCATTACGAACAAGTCCATGGAAGTTTAGGTCTTGGAAACACGTGTTCACTTGATTACAAGATCCAGGACACAGAGGGAGATGTCAGGAGCCATCTGAAAAACAGAGCCAGAGAGAACGAGGATAGGCAAAAAGGCAATCAGCACAAAGCCGAAATCTATCTGCTGCCTAAGCCTGGGCCTTCGCCGCCGCCTTCTCCTTCAGCTTCGCAACCTTGAGTACCTTCTTTACGATCTTCTGCTCCTCGACAAGGAACGCTCTCACGATCCTGCACGCGACCACATACCAATCACCATACGATCCAGAAACGATACGAACAGGGTCAGCCACTTTCATGTCGTCGCACACATGTCGGATATTGCCTTGTCATTAATGCATCCTGCGTGTATGATCTCAAAGGCGACAGACACAAGTACAAGTACCGAGCAACGCATGTTCCGAAAAATGGGAAGCGGAATATACCTTTCTCTGACACAGTTAGCGCACATGCTTCCACCGTATGCTCGGTTCACTCTCTTCTGTCTGAGGGACATCCTCTTGTAGTCCGTAGGACGCCTATGGGGTATCTGCACATCAACCACGGTAAATATATGGTAGCCGTTAGACCAACTCGTCAGCGAGTCCCTTTTCCTTCTCGATTAACATCTCGTTGACTTACATAACATCCCATCAGCGAGTCCTTTTTCGCCATATCACCCACAGAGAACGCCCGGTCATCATCCCCGAATCTCGACTGAAAGCTGCACCAATTACGTCTGTAATGACCCGGCGTTCTATACTGGTGAAGAGGGTAGAAACTTCATGCTTCAGAAAAATAATCAGATATTCTTCGACTTACCCCAGGAAGTCTCTTGGGACACTTGGCGCATTTGGGTCCCTGCCCTCTCTTCCCTGGGTACTGGAATGTGAGACGCCCACCTGTACCAACACAATAAACAGGGTTCACCAACAAACAATTATAAAAAATCAGCACGGTAAAACACTTAATAAAAAAGTGTCTGTCTCTCTGTCACCCATCCCACCCCGACCATCTCAGAACACCCTCTTCCCCTGTTTCGAACTGCTATTCGATCACGGACATGATAGCGAGCGAAGGACAACGAATTTCGGAGATTTGCCTGGACAAGACAGGGACAACCACAACCTCTTCCCATTCATAGACTTTTGCAGCGACATTCAGGAGGGAAGCGGCACGTGCGAACGAAGGGCACTACAGCAGTGAGGAGATGGAGTCGAGGCCAACAGATTCACCGCCTTCATCCAGAAGGAAAATATTCCGTTGTTTTCCCGAGGTAAGAAGAATTCGAGGAGAAAGAGAAAGAACACAACGATTAATACATCATTCAACAGCTGTTACCGAAGGATGTACGTATGAAACAAAACGTAAGACCTCCAACACAGAAGAAAACATAAATCAACTTATGATGATAACGAAGTAAGCGGTGACGATAGATACCGCCCTCAAGATTACGAAAACAAACAGGGCTACAATTATTAACGCCATTTTCATGCCGAGAGGATAAGAATGAAACGACTTCAAGCCTCACAATTCACGTACAGGGATGAAAAGAGAGAGACTGGGCACAGAGACCAGCTTCAAATTTGCAAATCAATCCACCACAACCACATTCAAAACTAGGGTCATGTAGTACCTTCTACGCTAGATCGATAGATCGTCTGTAACTATGGCACACGATTAGATTAGGGTAGTGCGTCATAATCGTCGCTTAACTACTGTCATCCACGAATAGAACGTACGGTCACATCTCCCGTGTGAAGACAAAGTCACCCGAGATACACGTACAATGACTACAAGTTGCGGGAACACGGAAGTACGTTGAAGTTCGAAACGAAAGGCGATCAGCGGGCACGCCAACCCTATACCTTAAGAACCAGATGGGAAGACAAAAGATATATGAAAACGAATAAGATATTGTCACTAAATTGGGCATTGAACCAAGTGAACAAACGTGAAAGGTAGAGGAGTCGGCGATCTTACGACTCTCTTGATGAGTACGGGTGCAGAACCCTAATCGTCAAATGGGACAAGAAACGCTCCGACTATACTATCGTCAGGCAGCGAGAAGCACAAAAACAATCCCCTACCATTTCGTTCGGCGATTTGCACAGCATAGTCGCCGAGTGTGCATCCTTACCTGGCGTCTTGACAACTCGCGTCTGATTGGACTTCGTAGCGTACGAGTGCCGCCTGCGGTACGTTAAACGCTGCACCATGGTTGCTATTTGGTGCTACACTGCTCGATGATCTGCTGAACGCGATGCGGAAAGGAAGGAGTCGGCCGCAATGCAATCCAGCCCCGCTAAAGCTATGGCGGTGTGTGCGAAAGGGATTCCCCAGATCGCTGGGACTAGTATCTATGCAATTTTGACTGTCTAACCATCCCTCGCCCCATCCCTCGGCTCGACCCGAGCCGAGAGATCTGCACTGACCGATGGATCGCCTTCAACCACCAGCACACCGCCGCAGGCAACTTGAAAATCGAATCGAAAACGAGGGCATACTCACACGAGGACCTGAAGTCCCAAAAAATTCCGGCATCTGGTACCGCCTATTTGGGACTTCAGGTCCTCGTGTGGTCACACGGGCGGACTTCGTCCAGAAGTACAAACTCATGGAGCCGACCCCTTTTTTTTTTTTTTTTTAACAAGAAAGATGGCTCCTTTTATTATACCCAATTCAATCCCCATTGGCCTCACGCGTAAGTGCCTGGGCAAGCTTGGTGTTCTACCAGCTAGAGATAACCCTTTGGCAAAGCCAGCATTGGCAGGACCTTGGCTGATGTTGTTCGCAGCCCGTCAGGGTAGCGCTTTCCCCCACTGAGACATTTCAACGTTCAACGTCATTCACTCAGATTTCAACGTCGGTCGTCGGGAGGGTGGGCATTTTTGAGCTTTGGGGCCTAGCAAGGGCTGGGACCGCTGTGAGGAGACCCGGGGAGGGGGCCGTGTTCGTAGCTGAAGCCAAGGGCAACAGCGTCTGTCACCCGCTGCGCCCGCTTCGGAGGTCCTCAGCGGTGGTACAGGGATCAGTGGGCGACATGTCTATCTTGCCCCTTTCGCAAGGCTTGGCTTAATACTCTTCGTCACGCGCGGAAATAGTATGAGGCAGGAACAAAAATGAGATAACTGGGACTAGCCTGCAGATAAGAGGTGAGGACGGGAGACCCTCGTTCGGGGCTCCTCCTACAGGTTCTCTGCAGGGGTATAAAAGTAATTTGCCCCTTACAAAAGGGGACTGATAGTCTTCTTGAATTTTGAGGGGTATTTCCGCAAATATCCACAACCAGGAAACTTGAAAAGCAAACATACAAGGCAGCTCAATCAGAACAAGTGCGAAGGTTGACCAGCACCCTCAGGGTGATCTTGCAATTTTACACAGAAAGTGTCCTCATTGCTCAAATTCAGAAGCTCTTGGCTCTGTCTCTTATACACATCTAGATGTGTATAAGAGACAGGTTCCACCGAAAGCTGGCTGTTTCCGCCTGCAGAGGATCACTTAACTGGAGAAATTGATCGTTCCCGTCTGCAGCAGAAGCACCTGATCGGACTGTTCCACCGAAAGCTGGTTGTTTCAGCCTGCAGAGGATCACTTAACTGGATAAATTGTTCGTTCCCGTCTGCAGCAGAAGCACCTGATCGGACTGTTCCACCGAAAGCTGGTTGTTTCAGCCTGCAGAGGATCACTTAACTGGAGAAATTGTTCGTTCCCGTCTGCAGCAGAAGCACATGATCGGACTGTTCCACCGAAAGCTGGCCGTCCCCGCCTGCAGCAGAAAAGCTTGATAGGACTGTACCTGTCTCTTATACACATCTAGATGTGTATAAGAGACAGGTTCCACCGAAAGCTGGTTGTTTCAGCCTGCAGAGGATCACTTAACTGGAGAAATTGTTCGTTCCCGTCTGCAGCAGAAGCACATGATCGGACTGTTCCACCGAAAGCTGGCCGTCCCCGCCTGCAGCAGAAAAGCTTGATAGGACTGTACCGCCAAAATTGGCTGCTTCCCCTTGTTTATACCACTCGCTCTCCCCCCCCCTTCTCTCTCGCTGTCCACTCCCCGTGCGTGTGAGGGCGTATAAAGAGGAGGAATATGAAAGGCTCAGGTCCAGAGGGGAAGTGGCTCACAGATCCACATCAGTGGATCGGTCAGATCAGCCCGCGGAAATCGGGATGTATTCGGTCTACTTATGAGGGCAGATTTATGCTCATAATTGCGCTTTAATGGGGCGGGCAGTTCAAGCCCAAAAATCAGGATGTATTGGCCCACTAGTGAGTGCAGATTTATGCTCTTTTTTTTTTTACACTAATAAAACAGTAGATCAAACCCCTGTAATCAGATTGTACTTGCCTTACCTGTATACAGGGAGATTAATACTCTTCCTTTTTAATCAGAATGTATTCGCCCCGCATGTAGGGGCAGATTAATACTCTCCTTTTTGCGCGAATGGAGCGGCAGATTTAGCCCC